TTTTTGCATTAAAAATTTATAGCATTTAAAAATCCTTAATGATATTTATATTCACTTAACTTTTATAACACTTACATCATCATTATTATCACTGTGTTCTTTATCATTATTATCATTGTCGTCTAAAATTGAATTTAATTCGCTTGCAGATGTTACAGAAGCCATATTCTGTAATTTTTATGAACTACCAAGCTCTATATAATTATTTTTTTTTTTGACTTCACCAAACTTTTAAGGAAACTACTTAGTTGATAATATGTACATCTAATTTTAGTTTTTTTACTAGGATGAATATTAACTTTTAATGAGACACAATTAAATCCGGATTCAATTTAGAAATTTTGATGTATACACATATTTATATATCTACCATATATATAATTTTATTTGTACCTATATTGAATTATCCAGTAAGTGTATTTACACATGAAATATTTTCTAATATGTTTTAGATATTTATTTTTTTTTTCTTGCTAAATGAGCTACAGCTAAAAAGTTTGTATTTATTTACAGCCAATAAATTATTTAAAATTATGCATATAATTTTATTGTATATTAAAATTAATTTATTACTCTATGTTAAATATATACAAGAAATAAAATTTTGTTGAAATAATAAAATAAGCGGAAATAAAATTATAATATATATGTTCCAATATACAATAATAAAATATTCTTATGTAAAATAAAATGAACCAAAGGTCACAGCAGCTGGTGCCTAAAATATTTTAATTTAAATTAAAATTAATTAAATTTGAAAAATTTTTAATAATAATAAAGTTAATAAAATATTTAATTTATTTTAAAATTAATTTTGAATAAATTTGTTACTCTTCTCTGCTAAACAATTAAGTTCTATGAAAACCGTGCACAAAATACCAGAAGTGCCTTTTTCTGTGCGATTTTCCACATCTTGTCGCAAAGTAAGCTCAATAAGGACTAAAGCAAATATGAAGAGACAATAAGACTCCAACACAAATAGCAGTTAAATAACTTATAATGAAAGAAGAATTCATAACAGTACCATTCACCCATAAATCACGAATAATAAACCACTTGCAGTGGTGTTGATATCATGTTTACATTTTATATGGTTTGAAATTTGCTGCATGTTTACTTTAATTCCGGAAATGTAATGGAATTCTCAACGCTTCTACACCTTTACGGGATTCAATTATGCATGCATATGAAGGTGTTGTTATAGATAAATGCACTAATGCTTGGCGTAATCATATGTGAACAAGCCAGTGTCTCAGCATATGAATAGATCCCTTGACATTTCCAGTTCTTCACTTTGGTATGTTCCGTAAATCGAAATTTAAATTAAGTATAGCACGCAAAGTAAAAATTTTACAAAGAAAGACGACAGCCGTTCAAGTTTTATTTTGTTTTCATTCTGTAATTTTTTTTAAATTTAGTCGAAAGAAAAAATTTTAATGTAAATAGTGTGAGGACATTTTTCCTTTTACGTTCTCCCACTTAAGAATTAAAATAGATTGAAACTTAGTACACTATTAATAACTGTTGTTTTATAAAATATGCTACTACCCTTGAGAGGTTTATCAGTTCCTCAGATTTGTTAAATATTTAAGAAAATCATGTAAAATGTTGTAGAAGCTTCAATCCATAGCTGTAGAAGAAAAGTAACTTCTTGACCTAAATTGTATTGTGATAATCGGGTTTTAGATATGTTTTGAAACTGAGAGTTATTAAAACAAAACACATTTTAACAAAAATTACGGTTGATTCGAGATATACTAAAACTTACAAACAACAACACAGAACAAGCCAAGAACGTTATTTAAAACGTATAACGAACAAAATAGCTTAAAGTGCCCGAAAGCACATATTTTTCTACCTATTCCTCAATAGAAGTAGGACATTCAGTCAGTTTTATAACTGCTTAACTCAGGTCAAAGCACTTTAATCCACTACTAAATCAATTTAAGCTTACTGACACATAACATTAAAAATAATTCAAAAATCTGCATGATATCTCAGAATGATAGATATGCATAGAGATCTACGCACTGACCATTAAAATTCTTTTCAAGAATTTAATAGGTAATATGTGAATTTAACCACCTATGTTTCAACAAGATAGGTAATTTTAAAATACAAATATACTCATATATTACATATGATGCAGATAGAAATTATGCATATATGTATATATACGCTAGTCTACTTAATCTTTATCATTATTGTGACTACATTTTTATAGCACATAGAAAAGTAATTCAAAACAATATTTAGCAAAGAATTACTTACTTTTTGGTCATAATAATGCAATAATGCGCTTCAGCCTGGCGCATCATTACTCTCCAAATGTCTCTGCTGCGTGGCCATCTTTTCTAGGTTTCTACAATAAGCCCGGTTAGCGGTCTTTTAACTTGATCACTCAACAAAAAACACAGTCTTCTCTTCTCCTACGTCTTCTTCAAAAGCCGCTTTTCACTTGAGCATCATCATCTATTTCCACAGCATAACCAAGCCAGCGAAGTTACTGGATGTTGATTCGCTGAATGATGTCTACGTTGTAATAAAATACGTACAGATTGTGGTTCATTTTGATACGGTTGTCGTCAGCAACTAGTAAGTGATCACACAACTAACGAAGAACTTTACTGGGCACACGTAGGATAAATCACTTATAGAGCGTAGTTTTATCGGTCGAGAACCCAAAGTAGCACCTTTTGGCTATTATAATTCTTTATCTGTTTTCTATGCTCATATTCTTTTTGTTGGTTACGGCTGTGCCAAAATAGATAGAATTCTTTTTCTACCAGCTCGGCGTCCAATCGACTCACATTTCTATCAGTAGTCGACATATAGGTACTCTATTTTGTCCCCCCATTCATTGCTATGTTCATATATGTACACTATCATGTTTGCGTTATTATATATATTTTTTTTAAAAACATTTATTCATACTATATTGTAATTTGTGTGAAAATTAAATAAATACCTATACCAGAAGAAAATCATCAAATAATCAGAATTTATTTTTTTTGCTCTTCAAGTACAATGCAACTATTTTAGTTTTGATCCAATCCTTCATTGATTTTCGTACACTTTTAAGTTTTTCAATGAGTTTTCTTCCTCTCGTCTTTCTTTAAGTCGTCAACTTCGGGAACAAAAAAAATCATAAAGAGATTTGTTCGACGAGTACGATGATTAGTCGATAGCTTTCGTTGATTTCTTATTCTGATAACAATGGGAAACCACTCAAAAGTTTGATTACAGAAACGCTGTTGTAAACA